AAAAAAAAACATTTCCAGTCACATTAGTGCCGAAGTGGAACATGGACCATTGCTCACCCTGAACACCTGTTTCAATTCCTCGCCAAGTTCGCGAACAAAATTCGTGTCGTCCAGCTTGGGTAGTATTGCATCGATAGTTTCGTCGCTGAAGGGTTTCTGGGCCATTGGGAGCAGTGACCAGCCAAAAGGATCTGCAATGAAGAAGCTGGTGTGTGAGGAAAACTGAAGGAAGATATTGTAGCTAATGTCAAATCATTAGTCATACAGAATCACTCAATTTGTTCACGCTGCACACACCACTAATAGCTCCTTCTAATGTTAAGATTACTACATACACGAATCTCATTGCACCATTAAAGATAACGATACCATTGGCACTTATTTTCTAATTCCATTTTAGGCGCTTATACAGACAAAACAACAGCGTGCATACGGTCGCGTAGGAGTACGACAATATACTGTCAGCTCACAGTGCTTAATATTACCATTTCTCTCGATCACCCACTGTTGTTTATTGGAAAAATTTAACCATCATAATCTTAGATTTCTCAGTGAAAAATGTGTAAATCGTCGATAGCAAGACGTCTGTCGCTCTTTGGCGCGACGCGGCCTAACAACGTTTTTCACTCGTCTCGAATTACTTCAATACCTCTGCCAATACGTCGTTCATGTAATGTCCATCCTTCTTTGCTCACTTATTCACATCGTCCTCGGAAGAAAACCCTCCACTATCTTCTTCACTACTCTTTTTCAAACGTTTTGGACGTAATATACGACGCGCAATACTTTACTGCAGAGAACGGACCTAATGTTCGAACTTTTTCAGATTTTAGGCAAAGCTCTGCCGTAACAGAGACATTGCAGCTCAGTCCACTAGAACAACTTCCGGCTCTTCTATCATTGCACGGTGACAATTTATCGTTCGTTCAACTCAATTTGCAATTCCCCGTATCAAAAGTTACTCGTTGAACTAAAGAGATTTACGCGAAACCGCTCGCACTGATACGTTGAAATGAGTGAAATAACACAGTGAATGTGAGATGCTCCCTTGCAATGCGAAAGTGGGCAGCCGATCGATGCGTCTTTCTGGTATGAGGGCATTCGAGACTAATGAGTTTCCATTCTGCACGAACACTCCTACCAAGAAAAAAATGTCTGTGAGTGAAAATAGATTGTGCGCTGGCAATGTGGGCGATTTCGAACTGACGCTGCGCTTTTTCGCAGTCCTACGATTTCGAATGCATGCAAACTGCAGTTTTGGCCGAAGGGTCCACGCGAAGCGAATCAGACTTAATGCGCTCTCTCTGCAGATTTGGTGCAGGGTGCGCTAGCGCCTACTAATAAAATGGCGTTAATGATTGAGAAAACTCGATTGTCTCAGGGCGATATGCAAGCGCGAAAGTCGAGTAAGTCCCACATCAATTGCGGGCAACCCGAGTCCAACTGACAAATTGTTTGCTGCGACGTTGAAAGTATCGCATGGGTAGGTTACCCCATCACAAACAACAGGGGTATCAAACAAACACGCTCCCTCGTACTGAAAACATGCAGACACTACCCGTTGAAGTACAAAGTAGTTTTTTTCGCAGTAAATGACAACTCTCTCAGTCGATCTTTCCCGAAATGCTACCCAAGGTTGGCAACACCAACGGTCGTATAAAAATTAAGCTTTCGAGAAAACGGCTGCCTGCTTGTAGAAACGCAGCACTTCCTCATAAAAAAAACAATCACTGACTTCTGAAGAACCTGGCTTATTCAATGATTTTTTGAAGAGCATTAGCAATTATTCTATGAAGCACGTTTTTTTGCGCTAAAAAATCTGAGAACGGGTCATAAAACTACGGTCATTGTTTAAATGTGCAGTACAAATCGTTACTAGTTTCGGATATGGCGAAAATTATTTACTAAAGGGCGCACAAGTGTATATCTCTGCCATACGAGACAGATTCTTTCCAAATCACATTCCCCGCTCAAAAATCCTATTAACTCAAGCGCTGCTAATGATACGGTGGGATAAAAGCTATACGGTTGTTTACGATAGTACCGGTGTTTTTATGTGGGCAAAGCGATGCTGTGCAGGCCGATCACACAAACAAATAAGGCATGCGCACTCATTGCTTCCATTGCGTTCTATCCCTTGCCTGCGAATGGCACAACTGAAATTTTTCACCTGCAACTACAAGTCTAGCATTCCTCTTCTCTTGATGCAGATTCCTACTTTACTTGGCCTAGTTTTTTTGAATGCTGAGTGGTGAAAAGTTTCTTAGCAGAGGTTCTTGTTAGCTGGGAAGAAAGTCATACTCACATGCCCTCCACTCATCCGGGTGTTTGAACGGGAATGCCAAACCATTGTCAATTGCTGCAATTGCTACTTTTGGCACTGTCACGTCAGCCCACTCCACTTCTGCAGGTGCTGGTTCACCACTACTTCTTTGCTGCTGCTCATCAATCAATTCTGAATAGAACTTTTGTTTTCAGGAAACAAAAATTTTCCTTGAAAGAATTAGCAAGTCAGAGCGAAATTTGTCGACAGCGCTCTCTTTCACTTCGCAGAATGGAAATTTGACATGCGTTTAGTATTAGTGTGCAAAATGCGTTCGAACGAAGCGCGTTCCCATTTTAGAAAGGACGTGAAAAATGAGACATTTCCTTATAAGGCTTGCTGAGATATAGGTGTACGTGGGAGTGCGTGCTAGTTGCCCAATGTCGTTGTTCGGCACTGTTTACTAGTCAGTAATCTACTAGATTATTCACCACATAACACATGTGACAGATAAAATAAAAAAGTGCGTCCTATAAAAAGGTGTGGCCAGCAGCCGGCACTTGGCGCCGCACTGATTCAAACCGTCATTCGTGATCAGAACCACTTGCTCCTGCGCCGCGGAGATGTCTGAGCCTCAGGACGCTGCAGAGGCCGAGCAATCTTACTCGGAATCCGTGCGTACTACGACCACTACGGCTACTACTGTTCTGCATGAGGAACAAATGGTGGATGTCTCACCTTCCGGACCGGAAGCTCGGGCATTCGCTTCTGCTAAGTCAATCAACTGGCCCTCATCAGGTGGCTGTAAATTAAATCATTCACTTTTGATCTCTCTTTTTTTCTAATGCTCATGTGCTCTTTGCGCTTTGCAAAAAACCTGCAAATCCGCCGTCCATTAATGGTGAAATGGGGATTTACGATTCATCTTTCGCAGATATAAATCACCTGTGTTTCTGCTACATTCGTGGGATTCGGATCATTTGGCACTATTGGAGTTTCCGCCACGTCAGCTTGTTCGTACTTGATCAACCAGTTATCATTGCCACGATCTGCATATTCTTTTATTATTTGATCTGAATCTCAATTTGCTTGCGAGATTTACCGGTGTTTCTGATAACATAATCAAGCACCACCATTTTTTCGAACAGCAACTGAAATTCCCTCTGTGTCAC